GAGAGAAACGGGTCTTCCCTCTCCGTCTCTCAGAAGCAGCAGCTGTATCACTGACCTAAGCCATTCCCCTAAAAGCAGAAACCTAGCAGGCTTCCCAGGGCTCTGACATTGATAAAGTTGTCAAAAGGGCCACATCTGCTTTGCTAGCCCCTCCTAGTCTGCCACCCCTGGCAACCTCCTCCTTTGCCTGTTCCTACAGTTCATCTTTGTCTTGGTTTTGTGATTTTGTCCTGTGGACACATCTGGAAGGTCAGCAAAATGAGCGCATTAGTGTTCTGCCATTTTAGTGGAAGTTGACTTCATGAGTTGATTTACATCTAAGGAACAGGGCAAAGGAGTTAAGTATGAGGATCGCTATGTACCACCTGTCGGAGTGATTTTGCTTCTCAATGACCTATCAGAAAATAATTGGAAGAGGAACCTTCCCCACTAGCTAAGTGCAAGGAGCCTAAAGACACCATAACGAGCCTTGACTTTGCCCAGTTAAATAATTGTAAATGCAGAGTAACTCCATTTCCTCTAGGCTTCACACTGGTTCACTAAGAATGGAATTTGACCTTAAGTAGTCAGGTTTCAAGAGAAGTTCAACTAAATGTTAAAGCAGGAGACTGTTTTAACGTGTAGGTGCTACTAGCTAGTTGCATTTCTTGCTACAACCTTTCCTCCTCTGCACGTTTCTCATGAATTTCAGAAAAGTGCCCTCTGCTCTGTTCTACCGTTTTGGTTTCCTTACAACCGGCCAGCACCATTGCCTGAAAAATTCAGTCCCTAGTTTTCTGTTATAATTTTGTGGTCTTCCAGCAGGCAGTACGTGGTCAGGATGTTCCCTGCCTTATTTTATTTTGAGATCTGTGTATTTAAAAAGATAGATCAACTTCTGAGCCTTATGTGACACCTTTCACAACTGCACAACAACATTGCTTTAAGTAGTCAGCTGGGGAGTACTCTGGTACCAGGAAAGTGAGGGTATCATTAAGTGATCTCTTTTCTGTCTTGTAATAGCTTCTGTGGATCAATATACTATAAGTTTTTTCTCAGGGAACAGGAGAGTGACTCAGGAAAAGTGAACAGACAAACCTCTGGAGGTCACCCAAGCCTGAGGTTGCAATGAGCTTCAGCAGTAGCAGAAGCAACGCTTTAATAAGAATTAGTAAGGCAGATGTACACCATGGAGCATATCACAATAGAGAAAAGCCAGAGGTATCATCAGGCAAGCTTATGTGTTCATAGCAGCCCACTGAAGCACTCAATGGAAATTTGAGCTCAGGATGCAGAAATCATCTAACTATATCTCCGTAGTTCTGCACCCAATATATTTTTGCAGAGAGCTCATTCTTAGCTCTGTGCTTATGGTATCTCAGGTACCCCATCAAGCGTGAGCTCTGCTAGCTGAAGCATCACAATGGTAGAGGTAACATGGAAATAGTCATCACACAATAAATACGTCCGTTATCGGGCTGTGCATGTCAGCATTTGGTTTCAGATTGACATTTGACCTGTAGCCTGATTTGGCAAAACAAAGCTCTGAAGTGTTATTTTTTTTTTCCCCTGAAGAATACTCAGGATATGAGGAGGGATGTTACAGTAGCGAGGGAAGAATGCAGGAGAATTCATGAAGGAGCATATGATGAAGTTTTATTGAGTTTCGTGTTTCAAGTTTCACATGAAATAGGATGTTTCATTATGATTGCAGAGGAAAATCTTAAATTGCTAAGGACTGTGTAATTCTTAGCCAAAGCTGATAGAACTTGCTACAGCCTCTTATGAGCAGAGAGTTTATTTGAAATATCGTGAAAATAAGAACAGCAGTATGTATATATAGAGATTTTTTAAATAGAATTGGTTTCCATGCTATGACCTTGTATGAATGTTTTAGTCCTGAAGCAAAATTCAGTTGAATGAGTTACCAGTATTGAAAAGCAGGTTCTCAAATAGATCTGCTGGCAGACCTTTAAATACAACCATATGGACTACATCACTTTATTTTTAGTTTCAGCTTCTGGACTTGAAAGTTGTGCTGCTTAGTGTAATTCTTGTCTGCTTTTGGATAATTCCTCTCAACCCTTTGTCATCTACTATACTGGCATTTCTTCTTCGTAGGGACCAAAATCTCCGACTCTTAACTTTTCTAAACAGTTCTTAATAAGAAGTCTATTATAAAGTCACAGAGACTTATATCATGGGTAACTGGTTTTTACAGAGATGGGCCATAAGCACTGTGGTAATCTCTGGACTGGGGTTCTGCCTTCAGCCTGCCTTGTGTTCTACTGCAATCCAGGACTGTAAAATCTGATTCCATAAGATGGTTGAAACCAGTCAAAAATATTGAGCAGCTTTTTTAGCTATTTTGTGCATACGTAGTTATGGGTAAATAGTTATGGGCCTTTTGTATAGCAACACTTCATTAACAACTTCCTACAGCATATAGGAAGGGATGTTATTGTGGCTGAAAGAGACGGCCGTGAAGATCTTTAACATGCTTTAAGTGGAAACACAAACCCAGGAGACCTCTATTTCTAGCTTCCTAAGCCATTGTGCAGGATTGACATAATTTTGTGTACTTCAGTTCACTCAGCATTAAAAGTTAGTTGCTTGTGATTTAGGATCCTTGGACAGAACTTGGTTTTGTGATGGGAAGAGAGGGATACGGAATTAGGAGTTCCTGTCCTGGTGCACTCATTGCCTCACTGTTGCCAGGGTGATGCATGAACCTTTTTGAAGGAGTTACTCTGTATTTACACCAATACAAATGTTGTCTAAGGTTAGTACAGGATTGCTAGTTCTGTCACATTGCATGTAAGTTTAGTGCATATAAGATAAGGTGTGCAATGTAAGATAGCAACCCATCCATGGCTGAAAGGTTTTGTTTCTTTTCCTAGCTGAAGCTGTAAAACACACACAGCAACTCATCTGGCTTAAAGGAGGGTTTGCAGTTAGTGAAGGACCCCTCTTTTGCAACAGTATTTTCAGCTGCAACAACCTCTGTCAATGCTTTGTTATTTCCTCACAAGGAAAAGTAATGGAAATGTTTTCTCTGTGTGGGTTGGTTTGGTTTGGTTTGGTTCTTTCTCCTGGGCTGGATAATGGTTGGAGAATGGAATTTAATTAAGAGTGCTGTCAGACCAGAGAAGTATTTCTGGAACCACGTGGATTCATGTATGTGTTACAAGCACTCAGCTTAACGTTATTTATCAGAAAAGGGCACTCAATGGCCAATATGTTGTTTTCTTTCCCCCTGAATTGGCCAGAGTACCGAGGACATGATTGCAATGTAGGAAGCCCCTTCAACTCCCATCATAATTTCCTGCCAATTCTAATTGTTGTGGTGGTTTCAGCCAGGAGTTTCTTAGGAACCAGGAGAGGTTCTTTCAGAGTGTTAAGCTAAATTTATACTTGCATATAATAACAGAGCTTGTGCTGAGTTTATTTCCACTGACTCTAGGACATTTGAAAAGAAAACAAAACCCATTATTTTATTTATAGACATACCTCTGTATAACCACATGCATGCATACATAAATACCTTTATATATTTCCATGGATGGTGGGATCTGCCTGCACAGGTCAGCTTGCTAAATCAGAATTTTAAGAAGAAATTTATTTTCTTATTAGATGCTGGAAAAACAGAATCGTCAGTCAGTTATTCCAGTTTAATGAAAGCAAATTAAAAAAAATATACAATTAAAATCCAGAAAGTAAGTGCAATTTTATTTAGAACATGTCTGTGTGATGATTGCAAGCCTAAGCTTTGCAGAGGGCAATGTTTGCTGGCTGTCTATACCAGCATATACTTATGCTGTATGGCTCTTTTATGCGCCTGTCTTGTCTAAAGTTTATATAGTTGTAAGTAAATGTCCTCCACAAATAGTGATTAAGTCGATCAAGTAAAGCTTACAGAGCACAGCCCTACATTTTTCAAGACCCTGTCTTTGTATACACACGGTACAAAATATTCAGAGCCTCTTTTGACTTATATCCACATCACTTTTTTGCGTCAAGTAATGTTTGCTTTGTAGGTAAAAGTGGTGTGGCTGGTCCTCGCTCTTCGCTTTGCCTATACTCTGGTGAATTCCCTCTGCTCCTGCAATAACCTGCCTTGAGATTGGTTTCACCATGGCAGGCACTAAAAAAAGCACAAGTAAAGCTGTCTCTACGCTTGCCTGTAAGCGGAGGCTTTGCCCTTATAGCAGCTGTAAGAAGCAGTAAGCTGCCTGGGGGCTTAGGCCAGACACTGTCTCTCGGCTCTGCTGAGGTTACGGCCTGGGCAAAGGGGGCACGTGCTGCCCCGCAGCGTGAAGCAGGGCCTCAGCGCCCGAGCAGGAGGGACCCCTCCAGTCAGGCTGCCAGAAGCCTGTGCTGCTCCTAACGCTCGTTCCTCTTGCTCTCTGTGTGAACACCTCTAGTAACTGAGGTTTCGCAGCTCACCTGCCCAGAGCTCGAGCTTCTACTGCATATAGTTTTCCCAAAGTTTAAAATGAACTGCTCTTCCTGTAGCTCAGCCCCATTACTTTTTTCCCAGCCCCTGTAGACAGGGATAGCAGCTTCCCTGTGGTGTCTTTTCGTATGTTTAAAGACCTATTGGCCCTAGTTGATTTTCTTTTCTTTAATCTGAAGATCCCCATTTCCTTTGGCCTTTGCTTGTAGGTCATGTTTTCTAGATTTACCTTTCTTGTTCTGCCTTTGTATGTGTCCCTTTGGCACCCATCTCAGTCAGTCAGAGCAAAAAGATTACCCGTGGCTTGCAGACCGTAGTGCCATGTGTCATCCCTCCCTTATTTTTACACTAGCATGAAACTGCTCTTTCAAATTGAGTTTGTGGTCTACTACAGGTTTAGGGGACAGAGATCCTTTTCAACAGAGCTGCTGTTTAACCAGTGCTCCCAGCTGGGTCTTTGCACAGCTGATCACTGCCTGCCTTAAATTTGTGCAGGTTTCATCATAAATATTATGTGTACTCCTAGCAGGCTGCTGCACACACATATCTAAAAGGAAATGTATTTTACAGCTTCCTTAAGTTCCTCACTGAAAATGAGGGCAATATGCAATTCTTGTGTGTAGGAGGAAATTTCATGTTTAACTTATGTGATCTATACCTAATGTCTAAATTACCTGTGCATGCAAATCTACATTATAGTGTATATAATCTATCCTTGTGAAACATCTAAAATTAAATCTGTCAATGTACATGTACAAGAGCTCTTTAGGAGTGGCAGTTACAGATTTAACATTCATGAATGTAAAATTGATGTAAAAAGTTAGAGATGAGTTTGAAGCCACATTTAAAATACAATGCCTGAAGTTTATCGAGACCTCTGCAAAACAGGAATCTGATCCTGCAGATACTTCTGACAGGAAATGTTGCTTGAGCTTTCTGATTAATGCCCGTGGCAGTAAATAGGTTGTAGTTGATACTAAGTTTGCATTCCTTGAATGTTAAACTGGAACTCCCGCAATTTTAATATAGTGCTTCAGCATTTTATATCTATTCTCTGATAGGAGTAGAAGTTTCAAAAACAGCTGAATCAAATCTCCATCATCTTTTTCTTTTTTTTTTTTCCCCCAAAATTCACACTTCGTTTAAGTTCACTGCCAATAGCTTTTATCCTTGCTTTAGTTGAGTTAGCTTCAACTGCCTGATTATACAGCTGGTTTCATTTTTTTTGTTCTGCTTTGAGCATCTTTCTGTCTCATTCCTCATCTGTGTGTATAGTGCCTGTAAACACCATCTCTTCATTTACAAACCCTCTTGAACTGAAAAGGGCAACCCAATAACCCCCATCTATGGACTCCTGTTTTCTTCTTGGCACATTTTCCTTACAAAACTGGCCATTAATATCACCTTATTCATGTTTTGACATTTCAGTCTCTTCACCCTGTGTTGATTGGATCAGACTCTTCTTCCAAATATGTGCCCGATCCTTTATTTCGTCCCCTTTTCAACTGCATAATGCATGAGACGGAAAGTGTCTTCTCAGTGCCTGGTGACAGACTGTGCTGGGTACGCGCTGGCGGCAGCCTGCAGCCAGCCCGTGATTGACACTAATGCATTGATAGCAGTTTCATCTGGGTGTTGCCGTTGTTGTGTTTAGGGGAGGCTGGTCAGTAAAGAGAGCAGGAGCTGTGTCACTGATGCAGCTTGTCAGTAATTCACAGAGATCTCTCGAAGTGCCCTATTTTTGGAAACAGCATTTCCAGATAAATGCTTTTCCAATTCCAAAGGCATTTTAACATGCTGGGAAATAAACCTCTACCTAGCTGTGGGTTTAAGTCACATCCCTAACATTGTAGAAAGTGCTAGTCATTTGATTTTATAATCCTTTCTATGAATTATAATGATGGTAAGGACCAAATAGGCTTAGTCCTGTGCTGTCACTCTATCCAGACACGTAACAGAGGCAGAAAAGGCACATTTAGAAACCAAGAGTCCCTTGATGTGTCTGGCAAGCTTAGCTCCAAAATCCTCAAAGGAGATCTGTCTTCCTTTTCCCTCTAAATTTAGATGAAGAATTTTTACATTCTTGGAGTAGAGAGGGAGAAAGGTGGAAACTGGTAACACGCTGTTGAAAGAAAATGGTAGCGTTTTCGGATGCAGAACGATTTTCTGTGTGGCTCCTTTCTGAACGTGCGTAAGCGTTAGCTGGTCCACCTGCGAGCAGCCTGGTTTGTGTGTGCGAGGTAGATTGAGAACTTTAAACTCATGTCACCTTTTCTTTTTAGGCATTCAAGCCAATGTTTTAGGGGCCTCTCTGTCTTCTACAGGACCAGGTAGAACTGCTTTGCATAGGGCTTTTGTAAGCAGGCCTTTGGGGACTAATGGGCTTGGGTTTGGGGTTATTTTTTCCTGCCTGGCACATGCAGAAATGTTATTGCTTATTCACTGAAAGAGAAAACAAGTTTGCCAGTTCCGGCTCTTTGTAGCTTGTTGGCATCTCTGAAAAGATACCGGGCAATGGGATTTATGGATAATTATCGCCACGAATAATTTAATCTGGATTTAATAAGGAAGTCACCCTTTTTGACTCACCATTTTTAACCGCCAGTAGTGGTTGTCTGTAATGGCTCACCCCAGCAGTCCAGAGTGCTTGTTATTAAGGACTTCGGCATTTTGGATTAGTGTTTCCCACTGAGAAATTTTAAGTCCTGTTGCCAAAGAATTCATGTAGCCATGTATGATTAGCAAATCTAAAGGATTAAAATAACTGCCTAGCAGGGTTAATACACTTCAAGACTATTGTTGTTACCTCAGGTACCACAGCACAAAAAAAAGGGGGCTCCCATGGCTGCAGCTCATAGTTAATAAATCTGACTGTGCTAACATTGCTGAACACTGGAAGCAAAGCTTTTAACATCATTAAACACCAGCTTTTTGCTTCATCACTCAAGGACAGTTCCTCTGTTTGCATCTTCATCCGCAGAAGTGGATACACCGTGGAGATTTTGTGAGATCTAAATATACACTCTGTAATTATGTACCAAATTTGAATAGCTGTGGGTCTGAATTGAAACCACTAACCATAAAAGCCTGAACCTCAACTGGTTGAGCAGATGAAACAGATGTATTTGTTCAAAAGTTTGCATCAAACGTTGGACGCTTCTCCATAAATCTGTGCTCTCCTGGTCTGGATTATCAGCTTGCATTAAAATAGCCATTTCCCACACACATAGGCAAAGGTTTTAGTTCTCTTTGACCCTTCCTTGCAGATGAGTGTAACTGGCCTAGCGACCTATCCCGCAAAGGTCTGGGCTCAGCTGCGTGCTTGAACTTGCTTGTAAATTCCACTCTGACATGTGCTGTGAATAAATAAAACCTGTTGGAATACGTTGCAAGGAATATCCTTTTAAGAATCTAATGAAGTTTAAAAGTTGGGTAGTACTTACCATAAGCATGTCATTTTAGTGAAGAAAAACCTCTTTGCAAAATGATTTCGTTGTTAGGATTTTTTTTTTCTTTGAGTTGGAGGAAAAAAGAAAACTAAAGCTCCTTCTTACCATAATCTGTTTTTCTCCCTTTTATTTTGTTTTATTTTCTTATCTGTGGAAGTCGTGTAAGCAAAGTTCTTTGCCGGTGCTAGGGATTTGTGTGATATTTTTGCAAGGTGTGGATTGTAGAATGTCACACATTCATTTTTAAACAGTTTTGCTCTCTGATACGAATGAAGCACAGGGCAGTCAAATGTCAATGGAAGCTTAGCAGCTCACTTTTCCTGTTTCTCTCCATTTTCTTATTATTGGCTGTGTTTGCAAAAGAGGAGGCTCTTCTGTTCTTGGCTTTGTTAGTGTTTTCAGAGCAGGCAGTGTTTCTGCTTTTGCCAATGTTTTTGACATCTCCTCAAAATAAGAAAGGACCCCTATTCCCAGAACAGAGGCATATTTGGACATTTCTAAAATAACCTTTAATTTGCCCCACCCTTCACTGACTGTCGATCCTCAGTGCAGTTTGGGTGTGCATCAAAATTTAGTAGAGGCTGGTGTCCTCATTGCTTTGCTTGGGGACAGGACAGGACAAAACTCCTGCTCCAGCTCTCAGGCTGCACAGAGTCAGCTCGCACTCTCCACCGGAGAACTCAAAGAAAATCCCCGGTGCAGGTGTCTCCCATTTACCTTCTAGTGAGCAGTTCTGATCGCTGCCCTCGTCCCGTGCCTTCTGCTCTTCCTGGAGCGGCTGACCCCCGCTCCAGGGGCTTTACCTATGCCACCCTCTTCAAGGATGACGTAGCACTCCTACTGCTGGGGTGATGCAGGTTTGTGCAAGATAGGCTACTGGGAGGGACAGCTAAGCTCAAAGACTGGTATCACTATATTTATTGTGCTCCACAACACTTACATTAAAAAGTTGTGGGGTTTCCTCTCGTGCGGTTTGTCACATGCCCTGCATGTCTGACCAAGTGGGATAATCGTGGTTTTCAAAATACTTTGTCATTGCCTTGTTTTTAATGAGGGAAAACTGACCTTGATTTCTCCCCTCTTCAAAATACCTAAAGGAAGCTAGCCAAGAAGCAGAAGGAGACTCAGACCAGCACGCAGAGGGAGATGGGGCCTGTGGCTACTTCTGACAAGACCTCTACCAAACTCAGTGCTGTTCACAATGAAGAAGCTTTTTCTTCCAGCTGCCAAGATGTTAATGGATTCAGTAAGTTTAACTTGCTTGCAATGGATATGTCCCCCTTGGAGAGCTCTAGGTTCTTAAAAGGACCTATTCCTATGGGCACAATATTGCGGAGCTAGGCATGACAGTAATAGAGATCATTGCAAAAGCTTGATAGAAACCGGTTGTCTGAAATGTCTCTGACACTGCCCCTATTTTAACTGTCAGATAGGTGGAGATCATTCCTTCTGACTCTAAATCTACTGAGAATAATTTATAAAGTCTGTTCTAATAACTACATCAGACAGTCAAAAAGGCACATGTTTATTTGTTCATCAGAAATATTTTTTCCTTTGTGAATAGAAGAGACGAATCAAATCACTTAGCTGACTTGTAGGATGAAATAACATTTTCTGTATGAAATTGTTATGAAAGAAAGCATAGTCTCCTGGTTAGAGAACTGGAATGGAAAGACAGCTTTTCTTCTTTTGTCTGTGTCTTTGGTTTATTCTTCACACGGGTTCAGTAAAACTGATCTTCGTTAATACTTGTAAACCACTCAGACCTCTGTAGCTGGAAGAGTTTTGTGGGTAAAGCAGCACGAAGTCATACTTTAGCCTCGCTAGATCCAGTTTGAGTGCATGGTGGACTGCATGGTTGATTTGTAAACTTTTCCGTATTAAATAAATTTTAACTTAGACTCTATGGCACTGTCACTCCTTCTTTTGACACTTAGCCTGGTAGTTTGAACAGGGAACAGCTCTGAAACACATGTACTAAAACTCTTTTGTCTGTCTTAAACATCTTTAGCAAAGTGTTTTTTCTCCTAATTACTGACATAGAAGTGCTTATGTACAAAATGTGTTTTGTCATTGAAACCTTCCTTTGTAATCTCAGATTGAGTGGGACAGGCTGAGTGAATTCTTCTTTTCCCTCTGTCTGTAGGTCATGTCAAATTCCATCTGCGTGTGTTGCCACTCTGTGTAACATACCCGTGAGATGGATAAGTCGGTGTTTGGGACCGTCAAGGCTAGCAGTGAACTCTTCTCTCTGATTCTAAATTGACTTGAGTCAAGATCCAATTTTCTCAGGTGCTGAGTAGCTGTATGTCCTAAAGAGGCAGCAGGAGTTGTCAGAGGTTCATATCTTTAAAAGACAGGGTAGCAGAGGACAGCATTGTAGCAGACATCCTAGGAACAGAAAAGGTAGCTTGTTTAAAATGTGTGGGGAAAGTGAAGTTTTTAACACTTTCTTCAGCATCTGGGTTTTTAAAAGTTTGGGAATTTTTGCCCAACCAGAAAATAAGAGAAGAGACGAGCTTGAAATGGTGACCTTATTTTTTTTTTTCCCTCTTGGTATTTTGAGAGCTAATTAAAACAGCTGAGTCATTTACTTGAAATGGCAACTATAGAAAATACATTGTATCTAATTTTGTAAAAAAACATCCCTCCAGGTTTTCTTTTTTTTTTTTTTTTAAATCAGTTAGTCCTTTGCTTGTCTGACATCACTGCAGATTTTATCACTGCCTCCCTCTGTCACACAGCCTGGGTCAAATCATGGGCCGATTCTTTTCTTTTTTTTTCCTCTTTACATCCATGAGAAACAATGACCAGTAAGCCTTCATGATTTCTCCAGGTTTTTTACTGCCAAGCCCAGGATGCTGAGGTGTTGGAGGTAAGTTCTCTTCTGTGCAGTTGTGTGCACATGCGGATACAGGAATTCTATGGGTAAAAGACTTTCTTTGAAAAGAATCTTAATAGATTTCAATACTTGAGGATTTCTACACAGGCCTACTCTAACTTTTGAATAACATAATAGGATTTCTTCTTAACCTTCCTGCTAACAAATAGAGTTTTACAGGGGGTTATCCATCCTAACTTTTGAAACAGCTGCATGTCTTAAGCAGCAGTCAAATTCCTTCTCAAATGTCCTGTTGCCTCCCATCACTAACCAGCGTTTGCAGATATCTCATGGCAGGTAGTCATCCTCTCCATCTTGACCCTCAGTTGTGGGAGCCTGAGTTGGCTGTAGCAGTGACATGGAAATACCCCTCTCCTTTTTGAAGAAAGACCACGAAGAGAAGCTAAGTGTTTTCAGTCCCAGGATGACCTTGCTAGCTCGCAAAAGCAATAAAATAGAACATGACAACTTGCTAAGTAGGATACCTCACAATTATAGAATGACTTGCAAACAAGTGTATCTCCGGATGACGGTGTCCTTGCAGGGCATGTGTTCTTCCCTCCAGTTTTTCCTTCCTGTCCCAGTAATTTTAATGACTTTTCAGACAGAACAAATTCAGTGAGTCCCTATAGAAGCTTTTTTTTCTTCCCGTAGTCTCTCCAGCTTGGCCACTGCTCTGCTCCTACTGCAGGAGGACTTTTTCTGTTCTGGGTGACCCTTGTCTGCCCATCTCTGGGTGACCCTTGTCTGCCCATCTCTGGGTGACCCTTGTCTGCCCTCCTGCGATGGCCTCCCTGTTTGCTGCCTGCCTCACTGCCTTACAGCACCGTCACCCCACGGGGAGCTCCCACCTGACAGGTTCTGCCGCTGTAAAGGGTACTGCCTAGCTCTGTGCATCGTGAAGGACATCAAAAATGAGCAGCTGCCTTTCTGCTTCTCAGCCCCTCCTTTTCTGAGGAGACACAGACCTGACCACTTTTACAGGCAACTCTGAAGCATACAGTGTAGTAACGGTTACTCTTTGGCCGCTAAGAGTTGCCATCCTCCTGTGTTTGCTATTGGTAAAAGTGCAGATTTTTTTTCTCCTACCCTGTCTCAGTGCTTTAGGGGAAAATGCTTCTATTTTCAATATAAACTTATGCAAATGACGTCATCCATAAAGTCATGCTGTTTGGGTGCAGCAGAGTCCTTTGTCGAGGCCAGCGCAGTGCTCAGGAGCACACAGTGCTGTTGGACGTCTGCAGGTTAGAATTCTGTCATTTGGCAGAGGTGTTCGTTATCATATGTAGTTACCTTCTGAAAGACCTGTAGCCTCTGTGCTGAAACAGGGAGAACTCAGGTCTTGCTGAAAAGTGGAAGAGAAATGGGCATTTATCTTTCCCGTCCCAAAGCAAAGCCCCTCATCTCTCTTTCCATTCTATGCCGTTAGTCATTATTCAAGCAGAATTCTTACTGGTACATAAAGGAGTTTAAACTGACTAGATTTTATAGACTCAGCCTCTATCTCTGACACCATATGGAATCAGAGTAGGTGTTTGCTGAAAGATACATTAGTCCATGGCTATTCCAGCTTGTCTGGTTTTGCCTGGGGACTATGTGGAGGTGAAGCAGGCTCATCGTAGTTGTTCATTTTCTCAAATATCTTACGTTTTAAAAAATAAAAATATATCCTAAATCCATTAAAGGTAGATGATGGTACTTGCAGTGTTTGAGCCTGCCTCTCAGTTTGCAGGGATGTTTGGAAAGCAGCAGCATCTTCCTCTGAGTGGCACAGCACAGTCGCGTGTAGGCATCGACTCGGTGCAGGGTTATTATGAAACGAGATGACAAATTGGAGACAAGATGGGCCTAAAATTATCCACCAGTATCTGTGCACTGACCAGAAGGGTGTGCAAGGGGTTGTTACTGCACATAAATTGTGTGCGATTTGGCAGCCCATCCATGTGATGGGAGAAGCCATGATATATCATCTCAGCAATGATGCACTAACGAGACGTCCCGCACAAAGGAACTGCTCTTCTGGCTTTGCAGTGCTAAAAATGCCATGGATCGGGCTTGTCCGGGAGAACACCGTGTCACCAGCATAGGGGTTTCCGGCAGGGACTGTTTGATTCTGAGGATTTAATCTTTTAAAATGCAGACAGTTTTGCTAGAGACTGATTTATTAGGGTGTGCTTAACTTCTGTGACAGCTCAGTGTGGGAGGAGACTGCTTTCCAGACAGCCTTCAGGAGTGAGACTGATACAGGTTCAGTAGGTAGCTTTAATGTTACAGGCACAGTTTGAAGACAGCATTTTGGAAGTGGTAGGGGACTGAGGTTTGCATTAGTGAGCACTATGTGCAGTTACCAGCTTAGTGTGCTTTGACTAGCGAGGACAAGGAGGTAAGAGGAAGGTGTAGGTAAGTGGCGCTCAGGGTGTTAAGGATCACTTTTAACTAAGAAACATCTAAATTCACACCTTTCCGTATCCTGCATGTTTTTGTGATGAATGAAAGTCTTTAGATTTGCTCTAAGTCACAACAGACAATTACATCAAGATCTAGTTCTTCCTACCCCACAGATAATTTTCACTCTTAGTTAGGTTACCTGCCAGATGCAGTCTGAGGACTTGTAGGATCATGACCCTGAGATGTTTCCTTTAGTAAAAAGTTACAAAATTAATTGAAAAATAAAAAAATAAGGCCAAATTTCATCAAAGGCATAAAAGGAAAAAAATACCAAAATCCCTTGTACTGGTTTTCATGCTGGTATGGGATTTTTGTGGGGTTTGCTAGTTCAGAAAATCTTGTAAAAATAAGGGAGAATCATTTTCAGAATAGGAAGAAGGCTCCACCATTCTGCATGACTAGAGGGATCTGTATGGCCTTGTGCCACTCCAGGGAGTACAAAGTGAATTTTTAATGAAGACTTAATCTGTACCCTGACCCGAAATCCTCTCTGGAAGTGATTCCTGTGATTGCGCACGCTAGTGCTTGTAAGAACCTCCGGTTAGGAAGCAGCACTGGGTACACACATCTCGTTACACAAGCCACTACCCGACCAATTTTGTGAACGAGCTCTCCAAAGTTTTGGGAAACCTGGGTTTTGGGTTTTTTTTCCCCCTTTTTCTTCTGAATCTAGAAGTCCCCTCCCTGTCTCACAAATATGGTTCATTTCATAAACCTCAGTTGGTAACGTTTTTAGTAGACTCGCTGAAGTGAGGGGTATTTCTTCAGCTGCCTGAGTAGTTTATCATTAGCAATTGCTGGAAAGGCAGTATGGCCCAAAGAGTTCTTTTATACTCCCAAATTTCAGAAAATCAGAGTCCTGCTCCAAGCCCTGACTGTTGACTTGGTCTGTGACCCGGGCAAACCAATTACTCTTTTTCAGTCCTTATTTTATATATCTGCAAAAGCAGCCACATTCCAAGTACAGTAAGAGGAGGGTCTGATTTAGGCTGACAAACACAGGGGAGAAAGTATAAGAGGCCCCAAAGGAGGGATGCTTTATGGCTTGAAGGCAGCTGGGGCAGAACTGCCTCCACTGGACTGAGCTATGAGAAATTGGATTATTTTAATGTGTTTCCAAGTTTGAAAATACGGCAGGAGAACACAGAATGAGCGAGTTCATTTATTACTTAATTATAAACTGCTTATGGAGGTAATTCTGCTGACTTTAGGAAACTCCCTAGACTAGTGACTTCTTTGGTTCACCTCATAGAATAACTTGAAATTTTTAAGTGCTGTTTGCTCTAGAGATAGAAAAATTGCTTCTGAAATCACTTTGATGTAGACTGAGTTTTATCTACTTCTATTGGATTATGGAATAGTTTTTCCTGTGTTATCTATTGTCATCTTTCTGATGTACTGAGATTTGTGTTAGCTTGTTTCCCAACATTTTGAGCAGGAGATAAATAAATGCCTGTAACTCTAAGAGTGAATGCAGAGTGGTAACAAAAGGATGTGCCTTCAGAAATGATGGATTACCATAAGAACGTATATGTATGCTATTGTAGAAATAAACTAGCCTCATAAATTTACTATCAAGACAGGAATCTACTGTGTAGATGTTAAGCCCTGCCTCCTTTCCATAAATATTTGATTAATATGGAAATACTTTGTGCATTCTTGTCCAGAGAACGCTAATGCCTTAATGGGAGAAGACAGGGATGCTTGTCCCACTGAAAGAACCCAGCTCACAGCGGAAAGGATTATAGGATTTGCTGTGAGCAGTCCTGGGTTGAAGAACAAGTCCCTTGTTATCTTGCATTGTTTTAACAAAAAATTGCTACCCTACCTGTGTATTTTTGTGGTACTAGTGTACATTGTGTTTGAGCAGACTTGCTTTACTGTTAACAAACTACTGAGAATCAAATGCAGTATTATTTGGGGGTCGTTTTCAAGGGTCTTTCACCTAGAAACAAAACCAGAAGTTTGTTCCTTCGGTTAAAAGAAGAGTATCTGGAACATAGTCCTATATGTGTATCCTGTGTAGGAACACATTGATTTACAGTAACTATAATAGTATATTTTGGGTCTGGAGTGCTTATATTAAAGAAAATCCATCATGATGACAATGTAATAAATGTAATATGCATGTCAAGATGAAAAATATAATTCATTTTGATAAGCCTTATATATCCCATATTACTGTGTTCTTTGAGGAACATTCTCCCTGTTCTCTTTCTCTCTTTTAATATATGTCTAAAGTCTTTTCCTTATGTCTTTCCTACCTAGCATCACCCTCTCCTTGTTCATTTTCTGTCCAAAGCAAAACCCTTCAGAGCAAATCTTTGTTGAATTCCTACTACTCAGGTACTAGTGCCAGACTTTTCTTTCATTTCTAAATTTTCTTTGCTTTTGTATGTTTCGCAATATGACCTATAGACTGAGTCTTCTGAGTGTGAGATACAGCTAACCTTGTTTTCATTTTTTGTAACTTTTTTTCCTATTGATCTTCTGTTGATTTCCATTGATCCGTGTCGTGTGGGTGAACGGAATTCCATCTCAAAGTATCATCAGACACTGTTCCATCGACCACGCTGTTAGGTAAGAAGCCAGGTATGGTGTACTGCACTTCGTTGGAGAGCAAACACACTCATGGTATCTTGAAAATAACTCTAGGAGTGTGCTGTTGAGTGTCTGTGCTCCAAAATCATCATTAATCCTGTGGTCGTGTGTGTCGTTAATTGGAAAGCCTTTTGTTTTACTCATACTTTATTATTGCTGTTAATTGATTTTTTTTTTTCTTTTAAAGGAAAGAACAGTTCAAAGATCAAGGTTTTAGGAGTTCTATCAAGTATTTGTCGTTTCTTTTTATGAATGGGATTTGACATTCTGGGCCACATTCCCACGTGCCACCTTGCCTTCAGCTTAGTTTTGACTCATGTAGGTGGTTGTGCCTATGCAGCTGGCATAGAATCATGGAATGGTTTGGGCTGGAAGGGACCTTTAAAGGCCATCTAGTCCAACCCCCCTGCAGTGAGCAGGGACATCTTTACCTACATCAGGTTGCTCAGAGCCCCGTCCAACCTGACCTTGAATGTTCCCAGGGGTGGGGCTTCCACCACTTCTCTGGGCAGCCTGCGCCAGTGTCTCACCACCCTCATTGTAAAATATTTCTTCTTTCTATCTAGTCTGAATCTCCCCTCTTTTAGTTTAAAACCGTTACCCCTTGTTCTGTGAGTGGGACTCGGCTACACGTGCCTCAAGGCTCGTGAATATAAGTGAGGTTTTGCGTGTCCAAAGCAGGTGGGAGCCTATAGTTTTGGACTCAGTTGCAAGTGTAAAGGTTATTTGGAGAAATCAGAGACTAGGTTTGGGCAAGTGGCCCCACCTCATTCGGTGTATGCTGAGTGTTCAATGCTAAATGTTCAAGCAGTCATGTATAGATTTGAGAGGATAACAAAAACGCAGGTTTTGAGAGGCAGAGGCTGTCCTGTGGCTGCTGGTAATTTTAGAGGGAGGTGTTAGTGTTCAGCATATCCGAAAATTACCTTTTTTGTTCAGATGGTAAATGAAGCATCCAGTGTGCAACTCTTAGCTTTTGGATTTTTAAAACTAATATGTGTTTTACGGTAAGTTAACAGAGACAACAAAATTGGCAGAAACTGTTACCTGATAAAAGAAGTTATCCAGAAACTTACTGGAGATATACCCTTGCAAGTGAGTAATAACAGCCTAGAACTTCAGGCTCTCCCTGGAGGATTCTGCCTGCATGTGGAATTTGAGGAAGGCAATTCCTCCACTATGAATCAGAAAGATGATGTGTGGTTGATCAGAATCTAACCAGTGGTATTTATCAGACCTGTCATCTTGGATTATCTGCAGTAAATGTTCACTTCCAGACACAGTAATCTACCGTGGATGCTTTAAACATTACTCTGAGCGTGTTGAAGGCCCCCAGTTAGACCAGGAAGAAATTACAACCGATTGCTGAAGTGCCTTGGCTTAGAGACTAACAGCCAGGGCACAGAGGCTTGGAGGGACTGCCACAATACACACATTTATCTTGCTGTCTATCAAAATGCTGACTGCAATGAATGAGCCCTCTTTCAGCAAGGTGGGGAAGGAGCATAGTCCTTTTTCCAGAAGGTTTGTTCTCGTTTCCCAGACACAGTGTTGTCAATAGAAAAGTCTAAAGGTAGATTTGTCTGTTGACTATACTTCAGAAACAGGGCCCAGAACTGTAGTATGCTCGAAGATGTCAAACTGCTCTCAGTCTGGTACTCACCACCTGTGAAAACCGGACCCTCATTTGAGGGAGCTGTTTTCCCCGCTCTGTCCCAATAGCAAGAATTACAGTGCACACTTTGTAATCTGAAGCTCAAGGAGCAATGGACAGATTCAATCTGTACTTCTCATGGGAAAGCAAAAACCAAAAAAGCCCCCAAAACTTTCAAAATCCCAAATTTTAGAGAGGAAAAAGAGGCAATAGGAATGAAACCAGTCTTGTGCCTATGTATTCAAAACTTTTTCAGATGTAACTTCTACTAACCACTCTATCTCAGTAAGGATTAGTATCCCTGTTTTACACAGGGGAAGTACAGAGCACTTTTAAGCCGTGATTTACACAGACTGGTCACCCCCCCCAGTTCCATCTGAATTTAACAGCCACAGATGCTGTGAAACAGCCCTTGGCGTTGAAGAAATTTCTATATGTTGTGACTTGAAGACAAATTAAAACCTCGGCATTTTGGCTTCTCGGACAGATTCACAAGGCATTGGATGTTGCTGTATGAGCAAAATAACTTTAATTTTTGACGTTTATTAATATTCATTCCTGGGAAGGAAAAAGAGATCTTAAAAAGGGCATCAGTCATCCCACTACCAATATCGGTCTTTGGGCACTACCTGCAGTTCAGTGCTATTTGTTCCCATCTGTTATGCCTTCTGCTAATAAATGTTCTGTATCTGCAAGAGTGGATGACTCCCTAGGCTTGGCTGTGACATGATTTGTTGGTAGTAAGATACAGGGGATTTTGGTTTTGCCTTTACCCTATCCTGTGCTTGATTAATACTATTTTATCTAATGCATGTTTTTAGCTCGATAATTTTCTCTTCCAGTTGTAGACATCTCTGGATTTAAACGGTTTCTGCAAGCATCTTCACTAGAGCAGTGAATATGTAATACTAACAAATAAAGGAGGTAGATTTCCCTATTTTTAATCAGTAAGGCTCATGTACTGCAAAGCCTGATGAGGAGGTAGTACAACCTTAGAGATTCTTTTTGGAGAAAACGTGCATGACCAGTAGCTCTTAAAGATGTTCAGCAGATGTCATCAGGGCAGCCTCTTCAGGGGAACCAGCATGTCCTTTGCTTGTGTCCGTTAACATCTCCCCACAGCATGTAAGGACGTTTCACCTTATTCTCATTTCAACTGCTCAAGAGGATCCTAAGAACAAGAGTCTCTGCCCTCCAGAGAGGATGATGACTGTAGTGCCTTGTAGTTCCTTGCAGGTGGGTGGAACGAGCAGAGAAAGCTCGCTGTCATGAAGTCTCGCACAAAAACTGGCTTGTGCTTAGAATGACATAAAAATTGTCCCTGGATTTCACTCTTCTATAGCTTGGGTGGGCTTTTGCCTGTACCTACTCAGTCTGCTGAGGGTATATCCACAGCTTAATGTTTGAAGAACTAGAAAGATATTAAGAAGCTGAAGCTGCTGCTTTAGCGAGTGTCACCATTACTGGCTTTTTAAATCATGGGGTGAGTTATCTTTATGCAATGGAAGCTCAAAAATCAATGGCTCGGTCTGTTCAGTTGTATCTCCAGCCTCCCAGCCCATATCAGCCTCGAGGAGCTGTGGGAGAGGCTTTCACATCAGTTCACTGTGCTAATGTTGGCCTGCAGCAGAATGAGCAACGGAGGCCCTTGCCCTTGTAGGCTGTTACCTGAGCTGAATGTCTCTTCTTTCTGCCTGAAGATGATCAGGTGGATTGGAAAAGTCTCTCTTCCAGTCTTTAGTGGCTTCTAGTTTTGTGTGCTGTTTTGAAGTTGCCAATACTTTTGTAGCTGTAAGTGATGAATTGCTCTGTGAGGTGAGTAGATGACAGCCTCTTTTCACTGAGGAGACAAAAAGAGATTTGACTTGGGGATGTCCGCACAGTTGAACATCTTCACTGTTACACGTGTTCCAAATAGCCCCAAGTCTTAGCCCAGCTCACCAGAGCATCTTCCTTACATCTTTAAGGGGATTTTCTTCTATGCTAACTGATGAGAAAAAGTATGAAATAGTTTTTATAAGGTTAGAATACACTTGTGTGAGGTGTTTACCAAGCAATTCTTAAAAATCTCTTTAGAATCTAGAGGAAACGACTTTCTCTGGCTCTTTCTACTTTTTTTTTTAATGCACACGTGGCTTATTCATAGCCTTTGAAGTGAAAGATGCATCCTCTGCTCTCTGTCAAACCTGGTGTCAGAAGCTTTTTGTTAAGGAGCGTGCCTTTTTATAGCTCAGTTGATACCATTAGAGAAATGATGTTTTGAATTTGGTTTGCTGTACCACTGTTTGTATTGTATATAGCATATTATAGCTGGATAGTTATCATATAATAAAACCTTGGTGCACACAAAAAGGCAAATTAATTTTACCAGCTTGCACCATATCCTTAGCGTAAGGGGAAGAGATATTAGCCATGCTATAGTCATCCTTGGAAGATGTCAGATAATTGACAACCCTTACTCTAGTGTAGAAAGACTGGAAGTGTGTATAATTAAATCCATCACAAACAGCACTCAAAATGTAATTTATTTTGTGCAAAGGATGTCTTATCATGTTACACACTTGCCAAGGCTAAGAGAATAAAAATATAAACAGAGATGATAGGACTTTCATTTCAGACACCGAAGGAACTTCTGGATATTAAAGCAAAAGTTTTGAAAGAAACTTCTCTCCGTATACAAGATGACACGTTGGTGCAGCATTGGTTTTAGTTGTTTGAGGCATAGGTTAGTTTTCTGGTCGGAAGGCAACATCATGCTCTGTGTCCAGATATCTGTGTCTCAGGCTAACAAAACTGTGTTTATGAAACAAGATGACATCTATAAAAGGATCCGAAGTTTCAATCCCCAAAGCTGCTCTGGTTGAGCAGGTCCCATCCCACCAGCCTTACTGGAACATTGCACAGGGGTCTGATCATACTTCCAGCTACTTCCAGGCTGGGAATCTAATTTCTCAGCTGCTCTTCATCTGATGTGTGACATCTATGGAGGAGTTTGTCAGTTTTTCTGTGGAGGGAGACGTATTTATTTTACTTGTCTGGGTAGCAACAGAAGTGTATAATACAAGGTGCTGTAGCAGCAGGCAAGCAATATTAACTCAGGGTTACTCATCAGATGTGGAAAGATACCACCGGTCTGGCCTCTGCTTCAGCCTTTCTCTGCACGCCAGACTCCGTTATGTTTCTCTTGGCAGAGTAAGACCTCAGAGTTTATTTCAGCAAGTCCATGATTGTTTCTCCAGCAAAGAAGAGGGTCACAAGAAGCACCATTTCATAAGCAGGGAGAGTTTGTGAATATTAAAAGTGGAGTGAACGTTGTTATATTTAATTATCTGCAGTTACACCCTAAACAGGTAAGCTGAGATGCCTGAAGAGTTTCCCAATCAGGCTAGTTATGTGAGAGCCCGGGAATCATTGATTTAACATCTTATACAAAATTTCAGGGTATTCTGTGAACTCTTAGGCTGATAATGAAAGCGCCAGCTTCCAGAAATCAAAATATCTGCATTGGCAATGGATGTCTTAGTATGGGGAGTAAGAGAGTTGCACTAAAAAAGGTTAAACAAGCTGGCATCTTTTGCTATTGCAGCTGCTAATATTAGAAACAATCCTCTTACAAACAGCATGTTTCCAGCAACATGCAGAATACCTGTTTTATTTACAGCTGCACAAAACGAGCTGTGGAAAATTGGAAATAGTTCTGGGAAGGAACCAGAGCCCTGAACAGCCTGCCCTAATGAGACTTCAGAAGCTCTCAATTGATTTACTTTATCAAAGAGAAACTGAAGAAGTGATTTGATCAGTGCCTGCATGGGTCAAGATTTCAAATGCTCAGAGGGCTCTTTAATCTAACAGAAGGTATAATAAGATTCGGTGCCTGCAAGTCAAAGCTAAGTAAAATCAAATTGCAATTAAGAAATGTTTAGACAGCAAAGGTAATTAACTGTTGCCACAACTTTTGGGGTCAGAATGGAATCACCATGTCCTGAAATGCTTTAATTTGGATTGCTGCTTGGAACTGTATTCCGTCTTTGGTATGCAATGAAATATGGTGGTATGTGTTCCTGTCAACAAAATGAGGACATATGGCTAGAAATAAGATGTGCATATGAAATATAATCCAAAAGACTTGATGCATGTTTCTGTATGTTTAGTAGTTTCTAAGTATTAGAGTGAATTATTTCAAACATCTTTCAAATCTTTTTTTTTCTTGGTTTGCTGTTCTCACTGAAACCTCAGAAAAGGCCACACATGCTTTAGAGGCGCTGCCAAAAGGTTAGTGAAAGTCTTGGCCAATTTGCCCTACAAACTCATCTTCATTTGCAAGAGAATGGGGGGCATGTTTGTGAGAAGGGCACAGAGAGAAGGGACTATGGAAAAGTGCTGTGACTTGTCTTTAGTGCAACAGTTAAAGCAGAATTCCAGCGTTGCTGATGGGCTGATATTTTTGTTGCCTTTTCCAGTAAAAACGGTGTCAAAAGGAATGAGATGAGCTTTATAGCTACAACCTGCAGGAAAAGCAAAGCCTGTTTGCAAGCACTCCGAAGACTCTTTTGGTTGATAGTCCTAGTGAGAGATCAGTTTGCTGCTATCTCCCCTCCTACCTGCATTTGGAAATGTTCACAGAATTGCTGTGAACAGCACATCTTGAGAGAAGGTGCTGTGCCTTGCGTGAGCGCCTCATTAACCATGCTTAGGTTCAGGCTCGTGGAGTGATTAGACGGAGAAGGAACAATATGTTTCTTGCATCAGGCTTTATTAGCAGAACGTATGAATGCTAGGCTCGCCTCATATGTAGCAATTTGTCTCCATAAAAGCCTCTTCTCTCTTTCCTTGGCCCAGATAAAAGGTTGGTGGGAATATCTGACAGCTGTCCTGAGCTGGTCCAATCGCCAGGCTTGGGTTTTCTTTCAGGTAGTGCAGAGACCATTCAAGGTGCATTTGTCACAGACGTCCAGAGGAGGTGATCTTCTGCCTAGTTTCAGCTCTGTGTGTCATAAGGTTGAGAGTAGGATGACCCAGATTGTCTGAGGTTGTTTTTTTTAAGCAGAAACGTTTGGCTAAGTGAGAGGCAGGCAAACAGTGAGATGCCAGGGACCACGCTGCAGGAGCTGTTATTACAATCAGTGGGGTTTGTACCGTTTTTTATCTGTCTGACTAAAGAGACCAGAAGCACAGTTGTCACTACAAACTCAAAGGCCAGAGTCAGGTCCCTCTCTGCTGCTGAGCAGCTTGTTCTAGCTCTGGATTCATAACATGGGTGCCTGCTTTGAGGGAAGTTATTCTGGAAAAGAGGGGGCACCACTTTCCTGGCTTTCACCTCCTCTGTGAGAAGAGAGCCAAGTATACGAGAATTAAAGGATCTGATAAAGAGAGGAATTAATAATTGCCTGCAAAGGAGCTGAGTGATCCCAGCTACGTTCTACAAGGGGCCTGTGCTCTGCATTTGCCCTTACCGTATTAACACTAGAACCACACATTAGTTTTAAGACTCCCTCTCGAACAGGGATATCGTAATGTTTTTTAATTGGGGCTGATAAAAATGTGGCATTGCTTGCAGGTTCCTCAGAGAAGCCAATTGTGAAATTGGGTTTGTATTAAACCTAATGATGGAAAATTAAGCATGGTACGTCTGTCGGAAATGGTCCGCGATAAAAATCATCTCCTCTCCATTACAGGAGGTTAATAGGGAATAGGGGAGGAAAGATGCACTGGGAAAGCGAATCCAACTACGGGAATTAATAAGCCTTGAAATTCCCTCTGTTCAGAGTTCTCACACTGTCATTAGTTGGAGCATTAGGGATGATTATACAAATGCTTTGGATGTTACTCTTCCTTAAATCCCAAATTTATTCACATTTTGTATGTGAGGGTTGCTTCGCTAGAGCCTTGGCTCTGTGAATCTCTGAGTGTCCTGGGAATGTGACTGTTTGAGAACCTGGGTTTCACAAATCCTTAACTTCAGTAGCCTAATCAGAGCACATGATCACTTGGTGCTAATTGGTTTCAGAAGAAGCAGGATGTGTTCAGCATCTCTGATAATTCAGCCACCAGACCTCTTTATCTCACGCCGCCGGAGATCAGCTTGCCCCGCAGCAGTGTCTGCTGCTGGCATTCCTTTCTCCTCCTCATAGTCCAGCAGCTTCAGAACAGAGCATACACCTGCCTTGGTATCTTCCCCCTGATATAACTAAGCCAGCTAAAGCATTATTTGTTGTGTTTTGTCACGTCGCTGCTTTGCCAGCTGCGGGGAAGGCAGCCTGCTCCTCCGCTGTCTGCTCCAACCCGCCTGTGCAGCGAGGGACACGGCTGACATCCTGACTGCTGCCGACCAAAACTCCATGGCGATTTCTCAAGGATAGCGATGTTTGCAATAGCATTCCAGCCGTATTTCTGCCTCACAAAAATCACCATGAAATTGCAATTTGATTTATTTTATTCTTTATCGCTTCAAAACCATGACTATAGTATTGCTGACAAGGGGATAGTGTTTAGGCTCTTTGTCAGTCAGCTTTCTCTAAGAAACAAGCCTTGTGTATGCAATCTTAACGTTTTTATGAACAATCTGAGGTAGCTGTGTTTTCTGTTTGCTAGTAGGTTGGTTTTGGGTAAGACATAGACTGTTAAGGCCTGTACATGCCAAAGGACCCCTGTGTCTCAAATGTCTGTAATCACAGGAAAAAACAATGGTTTATTATAGGGCAAACTATTTAAATTTGGTCAACTCTGGTAGGTTTTGCTGGGCGTATCAGAGGTTACAATTCCATCTACATAGTGATAGAGATTTTTTTTAATCAGTTTCTTTCAAAAAGAAACTTCTTCCATTAAAGTTACATATCTGAAATTTGAGTTTCTGGGTGCAAGATAACTGTATTTCTATGCTGGTTTATTATTTCTGATAATATTACATCTTAGTAATTGACATACAAATTTTAGGCCTGAACTAGCAGAGCAGTTTAATTTGCCTCTAACATCCTGTATGACTTATTTGAAATGCTGATAATTTGTTTGCTATTAACTTGGGCCCCTTTCAGTTATCTCATGCTGTACCCCCCAAATCCCGCTTGAATATCTTGCTCATCTATATGTATCTTTCAGTCGTGTTCTTTGCAGGTTTGTGAAGAAAGGTATGTAATTCAATTGGAGCCATTACCCAGAGCTCACCCTTATAAAATGTGCTGTTTCGCTCTATGTGCTGTGTCCTTGTTAGCCTGATTGGCTGTTTACTCTGTTCCTGTCTCTTTGGGTTTGTCTCCTTGACACAAAAAGTATTCAATTGCAATTCGGTCTTTCTAGGCAGCTGTAGGCAAGCGTGTGTTTCCTACTTATTTCTTTACTTTCTTTTGCCTGCATCACCCTATGGGGTGGTGAAGAAACAAATAAAGAAATGGAGTGAGAATGGGAATGGAAATACCAGATAGGTGAAAGCTTTTTTTGCCTCCCTGTCTTTAAAACAGACAGTAGCCACGGAGAGATGACCCAGCCAACCCTGACTATCCAGACTCACCCATACCGGAGCTGCGAGCCAGTGGAAATGTCCTACCCCCGGGGGCAGTTCCAGCCAGCCATCCGAGTGGCCGACCTACTGCAGCACATCACCCAGATGAAGCGAGGACAGGGCTATGGATTTAAAGAGGAGTATGAGGTGAGAGGAACCTTCGCTCACGTGAATGAGTAGAGAAGTTGCACTTACGAAGGACAGCTGCTTGGGAGGGGAGGATAACTTTTTAAGAGCTTCTTTTCCTTCATTCACTTACTCTCTTAATCCTTTCCTTTCTCCATCTTATTTCTGTTTATGAGGGTAGGATTTTACAGCGCTAGCAGTCTTTGGTGGCCCTCTAGTCCAAAGAAAAGGTGTTTACTACAGCAGTAAGATAATGACATTGCGCTCATGCATTGGCATGTGCCCTCTCTCCCATAAAGAGCAGACAGTAAATATTTAACAGGTGCTGAACTGAATGAAGGACTTGGAGTCCCGTAGTCCCTTACTTACTGATGTGCTTTTGTTGGCAAGCCAGGCTTTAAGAAAAGGAAGGGTTTTGGCTTGAACTTTTTCAGAGCTCCGAATAGTCTATAACAATTGATCAAATTAAATTGCAGCGTAGTGGCCTGAATGCAGAACTGTAAAGGCAAAGGCGGGAACCTGGTGCAGCTTAAATGAAGGTGGAGTTTTCCAGTATGCTCAAACCTCTGGCTCAGAACATGTTCAGCTGATGTACTCTTCCAGCTCCGTGTGAGGAGAGAAGCAAAGAGAAAGGTGCAAAATGAAAGCTGCCTTCCTCCCTCCTGCCTCTTCCCTCCAAGCTGGAATGACCAGGAATGTAATCCAAATGACACGAAAAACATGGCATTGGGGAGGAGTTGGAAGAGGAATATACACTCAGAGCAGAGAGAACAGAAGAGGGAAATAGCAGTAAACATATGTAAGACTTTGCTCTAGTAAGTGATAATTATAACGAATGTAGTAAGCTTGTGGGAAGGCAATAAGCAATTAATATGCATAGTGGCATTAAAACTACTTAAAAATAACATAACAGCTGTGAAAAATAAGTTACTTAATGAAAACAGCTCACTTTTCCACCCTGCAAGTAAGAGTCCATGGGGTTTGTATCATTGCTGCTGGGTTTTGTGTTAATTGAGAGGCAATCTTTCCCTGGTTGTCACTAGGGAGTATTTTTTTAATCAGACGGCATCAAAGACTGTCGTAACAAATGTTTCTGGTAACTGTATGTTAACCAGGTCTACTCGCTCATGCCCCACAATCAAGCACGCTAATTAAACTATCAATATGAAGAGCTCTATTCAATATTGAAAAAGGGTAATAATTCTCTTAGGAGATTTAAACTTACCCTCCCTCGGCCCCTATTTCCATGAGTAGTACCCAAAACTACATTCAGCTCAATTACAGATGCCCTAAGATCTAGTTCTTGATGTTCAAGAAGAAAACAGGTGCTGGCATATATGTAATTTTCTGGCACTGGCATTGGTAATTATCAAAATAGCACATTAGCATGAAAAATGTCAATGCAACTTGCAGCTCCACAAGTTCTGCCTTTCCCAGAAAGTGCTATCTACATACGTAGATAATGACGATGACATTAGATTGATTTGCATAATTCCTTTCTTTACAAGAAATAGCCTGGAGAATGCCACAAGCTCTCAAATGGCATGTGCTGTTCTACCCTTCAATCAGAGGTAATTGCCTGAAGTAGCAGCCTTTTTGATGGTGGAATTTGGTTTTCAGGGCATGGGTCACAGGCAGCACTTGAGCTGCAGATAGCTTTCAGTCACCACCGGCAATCCCACAAACACAGGAGGGTGTCAAGGGGTGTTAAAACTCCAGGAAGGCAGGAGGTTGAAGATGGCTGAGTGGTGTCTCAGGCCGGAATCTGGAGGAACGCAAAGCTGCAAACGTGGCTTTGCCAAACGTTTTGTAGAATGGTTGATAAAATCTTGGAAAAGAATTTGATGTCTCTTTCAAAAAGTGTTTTCACACAGTAATACCAGTGTCACCTCCAAATATGTTTTTTTCTTCTAAGGAGCTGCTTTTCTACTTACTTTGCAAATTGATAGCATAAATTACAGCCTATTTAGTGACATGTTACCAAATAATTTTACTCTCATGAAAAATGGCTTTGAACAGAGTGTATCAGTCACATATGACAATCTCTTATCTCTGTGCATTCTCATCTCCACTGAGTAACCTGGAAATTGCATTCGATATTTGTTTAAAGTGTTCCTTCACCTACAGATCATTAGAGCATGAGGCAGCGTGTTTTAGAGGGCATCTAGAAAAATATTTCTAGTGCTTGCATCTTGCGCGTAACTCCACACTGAGATGGAAAGCAGGATGTGATTGTGTAAGTGGTGTCACTGCTGGTGTGAAATGGGTGATAACTGTGTGTGGGAACGTGGGAATCTGTCAGCACTTGCCATGTGTGTGTTATTTTGGGGCTGCCTGCTGCACCTGAGGCCAAAATGTGACTTGGGCCTTTTTGGCTGCTGCTTCTGTTTAGCAATAAAATGTGTAGACCACAAGGGAAAAATGCGTCACTGGCGCTGGATGTAGATAGCGCTGTGTGGGACTAGGCACAGCTATGAAGATTTAAAAGGGGCACGTTTAAATGTCACCTGTTCCTTTTTCAGAACACATCAGCCCTGATTTGTTGTGAGCTGCGGGACTAGTCCCATAGACTTACTGCGAGCAGCAATTACTGGCTACGGAGATAATAAGCTTAAGTATCCAAACTCATTTTCCATTATGATTTAGGATGTCGCTAAAGTACCTTCTCCTCCTGCATTTCTGAGACCATTTAGTTATTTTGGATTTTGCGGCTCCTTCCTCAAGCATCTTAGTATTGAGAGTCTTCAGCTTACGGAGTTCACCTCTGGGTTTTAACCCTTTCATCTCTGGCTGGCTACGCATTTGGTCAAAAGAACAGATCCAGTGGTTCAGGCTATGACATGACATCGCAAAGTATTTGGCAGCAGGGTGTTTCTGTAGATGCTGTCCTTGGACAATGTTGGCTTTGCTATAAACTGTAATGAGGAACTGAACTGGCTGAAATAGTTCTTTTCAGGTTGTTCTGGGTTTTTTTAGCCAAGGCAGTTTTTAACCCTGAGCCACAGCAGAGTTATGGGAACAGTTTTGCCACCATTTCTGAGAACATAGTGACTGCAGGGAGAGGGCCAGGACGCTGTGGCACGTGTTGAGATGAGCAGCAAGGCTTTTAATTGATGTTGTTGCCTTTGGCAGAAATACTGCAGCATTGGGGTAGATCAGTGCAGATGAATGATTCAAGTTTTCGTATTTCAATTAAAAACAAACAGCAAACTAACTAAATGCATCAATTGGAAATTTAAATTGGCTTGCAATAAGCCTCAATTTAATGTGAACACTTTAGTTATGTTTGGGCCGTGGTGCTTAGAAAGCTTGATTGAGATGAAACTGACTTTGAGAGATCTATCCTTGTAATTTCAGATAAAAATTAGATCAAATTAGTTTAAAAAGCATCATTGTAACATAAATTCTGCTACTGGGAAGATATTTCGGTATAAATTTTACAAAATTTCTCTACAAGAAGAAAAGCAAGAAAAGCCTAAAAATTAAGTCCAGATATTTGAACACTGCAATTTTGCTGTTAACAAAACAAAGAAAAAAGGGAGAGCGTTTCCTGTGAAATGCAGATCACATACCAATGTCTAAGTGATCTATCCTGATTTACCATTGCTGATAATGCAGAGAGAAACAGCAATATTAACCCTTTTTGCTATTACAGAGATACTTATTGTACCAACAAAACCTGAAGGACCAAAACATTAGGTCTGCTTATCTTTTTGTGGATGCAACTGAATTATGATTGATATTTTTGCCTTTGTATTGCTAATGTAGTTTTGTTTCTTGGTGCTGCATTTTCAGTGGTCTCACAGAAAACTTACTTGTGCTGTACCACTCAGGTACCTGCAGTTACTCCAATTTCTTCATCTGGTGTGTATAAAAGTAGGGGTATAAGGTACACCTCTGCAAAGGTAGTTTCGTTCCTCATCAACTGGAGCTGTGCTTCCTCTCTTCAGAGATGGATAGATACTTCTGTGAAAAGCAGAGATTTCTTTGGTGTTGAATGAGATGAAAAATCCTGGACTCTTAAATCTTTGGAGGCTATATCAGGCAAATATAAAAACATCAATTTCAATGGAGAATTTAATGTTCAAATCACATGAAAGGATAGGGTTTGTTGAAAAGGGATTTAGTGGACCTGAATGTATTATTTTTGCCAGAGAGAGCTTCTCCCATGTGGAAGTCGTGAGAAAGGATTTTCTTTTTTTTTTTTCTTTTTCTTTTCAGATGGCTATGATTAGATGTCTAATGACTGTTGCCATTCTCTGGTCAATCTGCTGTAATTTGATATTAGTGGAAAAATAAGGCACCTTTTTCCTCAGCCTTTGAAGATGAAAATGAACCTTACCCACATCTTTTCTTTTACTCAGGGATTTTTTTTGTTGTGTGTGGGTTTGTTGGTTGGGGTTTTTTTTGCTTGGGAGATGAGCTGCTATTTGGAAACAGCTGTCTGTAAAGGAAATATATGTGTGATCAAAGCCCTTGCCAATTACAGAGTTATTACTCTTTCTCCTGGGCTTTTGAATAAGAGCTCACTGTCCCTGTCTTTTGTCAGGAATGCTCGTGGCAGTGCTGAAGTGCCTGACATTTTCTGTCCTGGAACCCCTTTGGAGGAAATTCACAACGATCTGGTCTGCCAGGGGTTTGCTCATATTAAGTTTAATTGTAATGTCAGTGTTGTAGATCCTAATGATTGTGTCTCTCTGCTATTGCATTCAGGCACTGTAATAGACCTGGATGGCTTGTGAAGATGAATATAAATTCATTTTCTAGCACAGCTGTGTCAAACTACCTGCTGCTAGCTGAGGCAGATATGATTCTGCTATGATGGTGATATAAAACGCCCATAATTCCCATGGGACCATAAATAATACAATGTATAATGTTGCTGTTGTTTCTAGTAACGTAGGATCATGTTAGGGAGTAGGTCTTGGAGGAGGCAGATCTGTGGAGGCAATTCAGTGGGAGCTGTTCTCCTCCTCGCTTGTGGTTTCGGCACGAGTTGAGGCTTCGCTGGCCACAGCCGACAGCGGTGGTTCGCAGATCGTGGCTTTCTGTCCGGCTGGGATGCCGGTGATACCCAGGGAGCTAGTGCCACTGCTTCGATCTGCCTGTGCTGACATCCCCAGCCATCCTGAGACAGGCAGAGGGCTCATCCTGCTTACAGGCACTCGGGCCATCTTCCAAGGAAGGCAAGACCGTCCTCCAGCCAGATCCCGTGACAGCTGCTGTTTTCCTGGCTCTGCCTTCAAAATCCCTCCTGGATATGTCTCGAGGGGAAAGTGGCTTGTTTGTGTTCAGTATAGTTGTAGGGCCAAGCCATAACGTAGGGTAGCACTGTGTGCTGCCAGTTTCATTACCCCATCCTTTCTCAACTAGAAGAGCAGATTTTAGGAAAATGACTATTTATTGTCATACTTCATGGGCATGTTTTACCCCCTTTTTCCTCTCTTCCTTCTACATGATCTAAAACCCTGAGTTTTTTTATTTTTCCCAGAGAAGAAAACCAGCTAATCGTTTCTATTGCATTACCCCGTTACTAATATTGAAATAGGTGAAACCACTGTGTCTGTTTTCAACGTAAATATGAAAGACTGAGCACTATGTTTCTTCCATCTGGGTTTTCTTGGAAGCATATGTATATTGAAATCTCCACAAACCATGTTCTGCAGGAGAAATGAGGTTCACCTGTGACTGTGTGGCCAGAAACAAATTCCGCTGATCCTTTTAGAACTGAAGCAGCAGAAGGAAAGCGATCCTTTGCTGGCAGAAGCCAAGAGATGCAAATGATCTGCCACAAGCTCTGCTTTTTGCGTTAGTGGATGTGCCCTTTCCTCAAGAACAGCCATTTGCTTGGTTCACTGCTGAAATATGCAGTGCCTTTATTTTTGCCCTTCTCAGTCATCTTAATCCACCTGAAGGCTTGGCCAGATTTTTATAAACACTCCACTATTGTTTATTTTGCAGGCACTACCCGAGGGGCAGACGGCATCCTGGGATACAGCCAAGGAAGATGAAAACCGCAATAAGAACAGATATGGGAACATAATCTCCTGTAGGTGTAAATTCACATTAAACTGGGCTTCCTCTAAGATTTTGTATACATCCAGTGGAAAAGGGAGTGTTTGAGAATCTCGCTAAAAGCTGGTTTACAGTGCTGCGTGTTCAGTAGTTCAGTCTGTTTGTTACAGGCTATGTTTTTATGATTTTTTTAATTTTATTTTATTGGGTTTTTTCATTGTTTTACCTAAAGGTGTTGCGTGACTTTACAGGTTTCTATGCGTTTTGTGTCTACATTGCTTTGTGCTTAGTGTTTGTAATTTAAGGGCTAAATCCTCTTGTCAGATTTTCACAATGAATGTTGATGCCCATTTTCTGTCCATTTTTACTACGTAACCCAGAGCTTTCAGTGTCACGAATGGAAGCACAAAAGGAGGTGCAGATATGTGAGATTTTTGTATATGAATCAGAGATCAGATTTTCGCCTTCCTTGTGGTCAGTAACCAGTGGAGCAGTCGTTGCTTGTCCCCAAAGAGCTGGTTTAGTGTGGGGGGCAAGCTTATATTCTGCCTCAGAATCACAATAAGGCAGCTGAAAACGCACTAAAGCTTTTTAGCTTTACTTCTTTCAACAACCAATTACTGTTGATGTTATAGGAATACATCGAAGAACTGCAAGACAGTGAAAGACTCCATAAAACCATTTAGGTCAGCTTTATTCTCTGAGTCAGGACTAGATTCACCTTTTTAATTTTTATCAGATATTTGTGAATTTTCTTCCTAATGCTCTCCAAAGTTGAGCTTTCCACAAGCTCTCCAGGAAACTTACTCCAGTGTTTCATTATGCCTTATAATGACTCTGGAGAGGAGGTGTGAGAAGTAATTCTTTTTAAGGGCTGCTGGGCAGCATCAATTTGGAGAAGGCAGGCCTGAGACCATCAGAACAAGAAATAAGAACATAAATGGATGTGCTGTAGATTTTCATGACTGGATAAATCTATAGAATGCTGCAAGAGTCATGCTGAGTGACATATTTAGTATTTAGTACTGTATTTTTTCTTATTTTTCCTGTAGAACAAACAGATTTTACTAAATAACTTAAAAAAACAAAACAAAAAACCCCAACAAACCTTAGCCACAAAGAAAGATCATCTCACATGTAACTACTCCCCTCTTTCTTTTAAGACTTGAAAGAAATTATTCATGTAAGAGTTTGAGGGGAATAGCATAGAACAGCTCAGTTCAGCGACCCCATGTGAAGAAGAAGAGATCTTGAAATGAAGATCAGAAGTCTGTGAGCCCTGATCTGATCCCTTCCCACTTCTGCTGCTGCCTTTCTGTGTTGGTTGTGAGCAGGTCACCAGTTCCATCAGTCTTTTTTTCTCCATGTGGAAAATGGAAGTGATAGTATTGGAGTGTTACAGTTAGCATGAAGATCCTCTTGTTTAACTTCAGCTGCCTAAAAGCTCCACCTTGCTGTAAGTTTCCTGTGTTCCTAGTGGCAAAGAGAGAGACCTCCAGGCAGAGGTTCAATTTACCTGTCTATATGATTAGCTTAGCTTAAATTAGTCTAAGACAGATGAATTGTCCAGCTATAACAACTACACACTGGACTGAAGATGGAAGTGCACTAGTATGATGTAAGGAAGGAAACGTGAAAGACTTATTGTTTCTCTGCATGGTTTTGAGGAGCAGTTGACATAACGTAAAAGTGGAGGTGAAAAGAGACAAGACTGTGTGCAATAGCTGCCATCTAATTTATGTTGAAGCTGATCACAGAGAAAAAGTTGAGCTCCAGGTGAGACATGAGAAGAAATAAAGGAAGAAAAATCAAGGAAGATAAATGTGGTATTAGCTAAAGGGAGGGTGTTCACAAAGATGAATTGTTGTTTGCAAAGAGTGATGTTAGCCTTTTAGCTACAAATATAAATACAGTAGCAATACAGATACGAGTTGATGTGCTTGAATAAGGGAATACAAAATGTAATCAAAGGTAAGGAAGAAGTATCTGCAGGTTATAAAACATGAGAAAAGAAGCTCAAGTTTGAGGGCTGTTGGGAAAGAGGCCAGAATGAGGTTGTGAGGGTGGAAAGGCATAGATAAAGAAAGCAAGGTAGTAAAAGAGAGGAAGGATGCAGAAGAGTTGAAGGTAAACAAGAAAGTGAGTTTTCTTCACTTCAAACATATATAACAACAAACAGTTTGAGGAGGAGACGACAGGTCTTCTAAAAGACAGCAAGGAGAAGTTAGTGATGTGCAATAAAGAGTGATAAACCAGAGTGAAATCTTTGCTTTGCTTGAAGAGGCTAGGGAGAAGGGATGAGGATGCCTAAGGAAGGAGCATATCATTCATCAGACATTTTGTAAGACTACTGGGAAATTACCAGGGGTGTCCCTAGCTAAGCCTTGAGCCAGACCCTACTGATGGGCAACGTTGGGCAACTTCCCTGGGTAAAGGCAGTGACAGGATCCAGGATAGAGAACTGATAGCAGAGCTGAGAATAGCAGGAGAGAAGTTCCCTCTGGGCAGATTCTGAACACGAATTGTGCTCAGTGGGTACAAACTGCAGAAGCCTGAGCAGAGGAGGGGAGATGGAAAATTATTACACCCTTAGCTGCTTTGTTGTACTAGAATTGTAATTGCTGGTAAAAGCCAGAGTATGCACTGATTGTTCCTGCCGGTTTATTTGGTAGAAGACTGCAGATGGCAATTAACGTTATTTATTTAATCACAGTTGCCATTTCATCACTCCTGGAACAAGATATCCCATGCTTTTTCGGGAGTGACTTGAAAAGTCAGGTTTTGATCTAACTTTTGTAACTGCTTCGGAGACTTTCGTTAAAATGTGGGTTTGTAAGCTCTTGCAATGAGTAGCATTGCTCAGTGAATCACAGCAGATTAGATCTTGTCTTTATGGCCTTCTGGGTAATCGTGCACTTACAGGACTGTTTTACTTGGCTCACTGCTTTCCCAGGGCTCTATTAACATCGTGCCTGTCTGCGAAAACCTAGATCTTAACTGCCAGCCCCAACATCTGCTGTTCGTACATTTGCAGACCAAAACTGCAGATGAGGCTAATCTATTCATGGAGAGATGCTAGAGAGCTCTACATTAGTATGTTTTTTGGAGACAAGGAAAAGCTGAGGAGTGGATTGGTGTCTCTATGACCACAGAAATCCACTGTCAGTAGTGGAAAGGTGCACTGTAATGGCACAGATTTGCTGTGCTGGAGGGAGCTGTCCTACTTGAACTTTTTGTTATACTGGCAGTGTCCACAAGCTTTCCTCCTCTGCTTTGGGTATAAAAGCTATAAACACAAAGACAGTTGTGGAGATGCAGGATTTTTCTTTCAGGGGTAAGGGTAGGTAGTGTATCCATTTATGTGCTGAAGCAAAATTATTTAAATTCACTTTAGGGCCTAGATATTGAGGCCTTCAAACTGCAGCAGCAAATGTTTGTTAGGGGAGGGATGTTGAGCTTTTGTTGAGCCAAACCCATGACATAGAAGAGAAAACATGCAGAAGCTATATGGGACCTTTGGTTCTATTCTGTTTACAGAATTGGAACGCAGAATGGCAGAGCTTGGGAGGGACCTCTGGAGATCATCTAGTCCAACCCCCCTGCCGAAGCAGGTTCATCTAGAGCAGGTTGCACAGGATCGCATCCACAAGATTTCTCCCTGTCTCATCCAGATTTAGAGCCATTAACTTCTAAGGGAGTAAAAACTCTGCGACGAGAGCTGAGGACATAAAGACATAGGATTGTGTTTTGCTTTGACTTACTCTCAAAGGAGAGCATTTTCTTTCCCTTTCTTTTCTCCCTCTACTGAGTGTAATATTACAGGAGGAGGTTAGCACTCACAGGGTTGCTCGTTCATACTGGTGGTAATTCAGGCACATCCTTACATCTGCAGTGGAGCATCTTCCTGCTTAGGCACCGTGGTTTTTAAAGTCTTGTGATGGTCTGTTAAAAACTATTGAGTTGGTGACAAAAGAAAATAGAGAAATTTGCTCATTTCCTTCATACTCTGACTGCCATATGCTTTGAGCTGGAAGACTAAATTAATCAGAGAATTTTGTGGTGGAAGAGATGAACAACAAAGAGAGATTAATGGAGCTCTCAGCTGAAACGCAGGTGGAGTGCACTTCTTGGCCACAGACAGGAATAATGCATAAAATAAAACCCCCCACATGTCAGTATTGGATTTAGAATAGAAGTCTTTTCCAAGCGTCCTTATTCCATGGTTTCTTCGGTAGTGCCTAAGCTCTTGCATGTCTGTACAATGTCCGTGGTATGTTGTCCTGAGAGGATGGGATACATCGCACCTCGCTATTACCCAGCTCTCAAGGCACAGTCCAGGATCAGTGGGATAAAAAGGGGAGTACAGTGTGCCTTGGGAGGGCAAATCATCCTTTCAAACCAGAACTGGGTTGAATCATTTCAAAAGATGTCTGTATTTCTCCACTGACTACGTGGGGAACCTTGACAACCAGTTTAGACTAGCTGCTTAATATTTAGATGGCGAAAGCTGTGTGAGATTAATCCAGTGCTGGTGTCAAAATGAGATGTGGAAAAGTTGCAGTGATATTTCAAATGATCACTAATGGGAATTTTGACTGAAGTTTGAAATGATAACATTTTTGTGCTAAAATGGGAGCACAATGCTTTTCAGTTAAATTCTTGTCATTTTTGAAATGTGTATTAAGACCAATTTTCAGTCAAAGTACTCTTCATACAAATTTAGAGTTCTGCTAACTTGCATATGGACTATAGTAAACAGGGAGAAATAAAATCATTTATACGTTTGTTAAAGTACATTTCCATTTTTTGCAGTCCTGAATTTTACAGACATCCAATTTTTCTTCTGTTTCTCCCTCCATTTTTAAAGTTTCTTATAATCCATTTGTAACACATGGTGATATGATGTCTGATAAATTACAGAACTGTTAAGCGACACTTTCATTTCAGTGTGCCGAATATGTAGTGTCCTTGGCTAGTGTAGTCCAGTGCATAGAATGCAGAATCAGAAATAAATTTTAATCACAGGGAGAAGATATAATGAAGACATTTGCTGTTCTTTAAAAAGCCCTTTGAAGTCTTTAGATGAAAAAAAACTAAGTACAAAATTGTTTCTCCTAATAGCATAATAAGTGGCATTGGTTTTTTGCCTCTCTCCATTAAAAAAAAAAAAAAAAGGCGTTAAATTCCAAAGTTTGGGGAAAAAAGGGATTTACAAAGTAAGTTATTTCATGAACTTTTATCTAGACTGCTCCTAAACTTATGAACAAGATTAAAGACACCATTAAGATATCATTAATATTTTGTGTGCTTATCATATACACAGGTTTGGGCGTTTTTTCTGCTGCACTGTTCACACTTACAAGAGAAAGAAATCCAGGAATTAATATAATTTTTCTAAAATATACAGTGAAATATTTTGAATTCCGTCCTCCCAAAGCAAAGTTCAGCTAAAAGTATTTTCATTTGGTCCCAAAATATAATTGGACCTGAACCTGAATGTCTCCTTTTTAAAAAATATTAATTTCTGATGATCATTTCTTCATCCTTTACTGTTTTTCATGGATAGAGTAATCATATTTCATTTAAAGGGAAGAAAACCAGCAACCAACGACTCCTTTTACAGCTACAGAGCATCTTTTCTTTGTCCATAATTGTCTTAAGTGTGTAGACCTCTTCTGCAGTCTGCTTCTCACGCCTTTCACATCTAGATCCCCCAGCAGGTATTCATCCTGTCTGTTTTAAGTTTTTAACTAAAAAGCGGCTCAAAGAGCTGAAATGTAGTTTTTAGGTTTGGTTCTATTAAATGAAGAAAGGCAGGTTCTTCCTTGAGAGCTATTCAGAGCACTTCAGCTACACACCGTGCGTAGGCAGCGTCTTTGCCCCACTTCAAAAATCAACCTGAGATTCTTTTCACCTATCCTTACGTCGGTTTTGGTCTCACCATTTTTTAGTTCTGTTGTTGCAATAAGTTAAGATGTTCATAACGTTATTATATTGTGGCATCGCAAGAGGAATTAGTAAATGTTCCCCTCCCAAACATCAGCTCCAGGGTTTTTTCTTTGCTTTTGTTCTGTGTGATTCTTAACTAGCTTAGTTTGCCACCTTGAATCACAAGTGTGAAATTGTCTGTGAGAGACTTTGTGTATTTCATCCAGGTGTCCAGTTTAATCAGCTCTTTGTCTGTCTGTGTGAATCGCTCTAAGTATAAATTCTTTTATTGTCTGTCTAAGCACATGATTTACTGCAACTCCCAGTGCAGTTGCCTTGAGCGCAGGTAATTGTCTAGAGTTGGGAACATCATCAGCACGCTGAGAAATGTGCCTGCTTCCACTGCACCACAAAGGTTACATTTATTAATACAAATATAACAGAGCTTTTGATGGATTCACCTGCGTAACCTTTCTTGAATGCAAATATGGGATTTGCTAAGTACAGCAATGTGGTTGTATTTTTTGCGTGTGAAAATCACCCAAAGAATGAACAGAGTATGTGAGTCATTGCTTTTCATAGCCTAATGGGTATTTAGTAGATACCAAATCTTGGTTTTCAGAACTGCATGCACATCGGTCTCCACAATTATTATCTAATTCTACATTTAAATTAGTGATGACTAAAACACTTTTTGACTGAGTTACTGCAGAATCACACCTCATATTTTTATGTTTCATTGCTATGATTATTTTTAATTGAATGTAAATGATGCTTAGGCCCATATTTTGCAAAGTCCTTCTAACGTTTGTGCTTTACTGACTGAGAGCTAGGGTCCACAGAGCTGGTAGGGAGGAATTAAACTTATTGGACTCTATATTATGCTGCTTTAAAAAATCCTTTAAAAATGAGCCCAGTGTGCCCAGCAGTGACCTCTGTAACCCAGCAGCCTTTGCCAAGCGACTGGGCCGTAGATAGCAGTTCCACAATTAATTCACACCAATGCTGGGATTGCCAGACCAAATCAGCTCACAGCCCAGCTCACCGAGCATCTCCTGTGACAAGAGCCCAGCACAGCTGTTCCAGAGAAAGATCAAAATATTCCCTTGGTGGAAAATCACGACATAGTCTGTCTGCTGGAGTGGTTTCTTTCTGCATCTGAACTGTAGAGCATACTGGGAGGTGAAAAGATTGATATCTGTTATTTTATTGCCTTATCTAAAGTACACTTAAACGTCCTCAAAAACATGAACATTTCTATTTTTTTTTTTTTTTTTAACACTGCCTTGATGTCATTTTTTTGCCACGAGTTCTATGGGTTGCATAAAGGAACATTGCTCTGAGTTCCCTTGGTATGGCCTTTCAGGTTTCTGTGTTGTCCCATTTCTTATTTGCAGGATTCATTTGCCATTTTACCCTCTCTCATCTTTTATACCTCTGTTGTGGCCTATTTATTTTTATCCTGATCTTGACAGTTGTAGCTCTTGCCTCAGTTTCCATAGATCAGATGAAGTCGGGGAGGCTGTTGCTTCCAAGTGCAGTGGTGGCTTTTGTGATGGAGGTGCATCCTGCAAAGGTCTGTCCTGAGGCCCCCAAAGGAAGCAACATTCACGGTCAATGTAAAAGCTCTATAAGGGTTGTGGTGACAGCAGTGAATTTAAGGAACACAGAGTATAAGCGAGCACTAACCTAAAGATCTAAATGTTACATCTTAACCACAAAAGGGCAGGCTTGTAGGAACAGGCGTGTCTCTGATATTGTTTCATTTTTTATTATTGTAAGTATTCAAGTACCCACTTGCAGGAATCAGCAGATAAACTGAAGCACTTACAAAGTCCTCTTTATCGTTACTGTCACTTTTTTTTCTTTCCTTCTTTCAGATGATCATTCAAGAGTGAGATTGCAACTGCTGGATGGGGACCCTCACTCTGACTACATAAACGCCAATTACATCGACGTAAGGCTCCTGGACATTCCCACTATGACAAATGCTCCTGCTGACAAGTCTGCTTATGAGTTCGGTGCATCTTACGTAGGGACAGACTGTTGATCTGATGTGAATGACAGCTGAACACTATACAAACATCGTGTTGTGTCAGGGAGAAGGTTCTCGGTCTCCAGTTTACTCTCTCTGACCAATCTGGACAGATGGAGATTTCCTGTGTTTGACAGATCCACCAACATAAGTTGGTGGAATGTGGGCTAAATGACGTACGCAGAAATCAGTATCATCCCCTCGCAATAGCATTAGCGGATCTCTGAGACTTAGCGACTTCTTACAAAGTTGCTGTGCAGAAGGCATGTAAATAGATTGACATATTTTTTTTTAGTGTTACAAAATAACATTCAGAAAGCAGCCTCCTTCACACACACAGAACAATCAAATGAACATTTGTTTCTTGTATGCAACTCCTGATTCCTAGAAATATGGCAATGTTCAGAAGAGTTTATTTAAGGGATGAAAAATACACCTAATAAAATTGTGTAAGACTGATATGCAGCATTTTCATACAGTGGCAAATGCACAACTTCCTTCATTTTTGAACAAGAAGGTGCAACTTTTTGCCTAATAGTTTTCTGGGTTGCCCACAGGTTAGACACGGGATTTGTGCTTCTTTGAGGAAATAATGAAAACTGCCC